TATGCAGTAAGGAATTCTGCTGGCATGCAGCATTGCTGGACACCAGTGAGCAGAAGTAGGCAGTCTGCTCTGAAATGAAAACAGAGCAAAGACAAAAAAACCCCAAGCAATACCAGAATTATAAGATTATACAGTGACAGAATTAATTTATTTTAAATAGAAATAAAATTCTCAGATATCCAGAACTTCTAGCATAGCTTTATTTTGAGTGATGGTTTTCTGTTTTGAATTGAATTACAGTTTCAATCCAGGTAGAATTTACACAGTCATACAAAAAAAGTTGTGTAGTGAGAAACATACCATATGAGTCACATTTAGTTCTCCTTTTCCTGTACTTTATTAGCAATACTGACTATAAGAATTTGGGTAAATGTATTTCTTGTATAATATGCCCAATACTATGGAAGAAGGTCTTAAATTACAGATGTATTTTAACAGATTTGGAAAGTGAATATTAAGATAATTTTAAGATGGTAGTTTTAGAGCTGTTTAGCCTTGGGTATTCATTTAACCTGAAAAATTAACTGGCCTCCTTACTAAAGCTTTTCCTTTTCCAAAATAAAGAAGAGTAAAATGAGAAGAACAACTATTCTGAGTGTGATGGCTGGGGAGTCTGTGTGGTGTAATTCAGTGGTTAGTAGCTGTTTGATGTTACAGATGCCTGCTAGATTTTAATTAAGAAACAGCTGTCTTATGACTTAGTTTATCCTATTGCATTAATCCTCATTCACTGTAATGCTGATTGCTTTTCTGGATGGAAAAGTGCCACTTAATATGTGGCTGAAAAACAGGAAAGGTTAGAGAATTTAAGATAAAGGCATTAATTTGTGTATTCATCAGCTCACTGGCTTAATGTGTAGGAGCTATCTAAGAGCAGCCCTCATGCTGTGTAAGAGTTTCTGATATGAAGTCTTGGAGCACATTCTCTACTAGGCTGTAAGCTGAGAACCTGTGATTGCATGTGTTGTCCCCATTGCCAGTGCTCACCTGCCTTAAGTAAATTGACTCAAATGGTTAAAAGGAAATCTGTGTAATGCTTGATTGTGTCTGAACTCAGAATCTTGGCTTATTCAGAATGGAGAGCTGTCAGAAGGTCCTGTGTGCATGTTGCACGTGTATAATGCATCATGAAAATAAATGAGGAAATGCAAGCTACTGTGCACTTCATATATTTTTTAATACAGCCTTCACACTATTCCTGAGTTTCACTTTTGTGGGTCTTGTCTTCAGGAGCTTCGGTCACGAGAAGAAGAGTTGACAAGAGCAGCTCTTCAGCAAAAATCGCAAGAGGAATTGCTCAAGCGCCGGGAGCAACAGTTAGCAGAACGTGAGATTGATGTGCTGGAGCGTGAGCTGAACATCATGATATTCCAGTTAAATCAAGAGAAACCCAATGTAAAGAAGAGGAAGGGGAAGTTTAAAAGAAGCCGGTTAAAACTTAAAGATGGACACAGAATTAGTTTGCCTTCAGGTTTGTAATTTTTCTTAAAGTTCACAATATATGTGAGGATTAAATATGCAAGTTTCAGTTTCATAGTTAATGCTTGCAGTGTTCATTACTCTTTTAATTCATTGCCACACCCTACTACCATAATAGGCTAAAGGGTTTGGTAAGAATTATGTAGCTCACTCCCCCCAAGGAAACAACTTTCATGGGTCATACTCCTGTGGAGTAGTCATCATCTCAGCTGGAAGAATCTTTCACCTGGTTCAGCTGGAAGTCCATCATATTTGGAGGGAATTGTTACTAGTGTGGGAGCCACACGGTTTAAGATTGGTTCAAAGTTCAGATTTCTGTTAGCATTGTTTCTGTGCAGATAGAAAAGTACCTTTCTATTTCACGCCAGAACCTTCTAACATGATTAGATATTACTGCTGTTTCCCCTAAACTTGCAAATACCAAGCAGAAAAACTGCATTTCTTAAAGGCTGGGGGTACAGGTGCAGTACCCCAAATTGCATGCTTATTGCAGTTGCAAATAACAGCACAGCAGTTACAATCTTCATTGCCTTATTGCTTGCAAGAAAACGCTCTAATAGCAGCAGCACATGATTTTAGAATACAAATATGGTATAATTTGAATGTTAGAGCATTTGCTTCTACCCATGAGTGCATTAAAATGCCCCTTTTGCAAAGAAGTTATTTTTGTAGAAAGTTAGGTTCTTTTAATGTCATAGCTTGGTTTAGTGGTGCCATTTTAATGTTGCCACAAGATAACACTATGCAAACTCAGTGTTTCACCAGTGGTTGGGAAACCTTCATTAGCAGTACCAGCATCCTGGTGTTGTTTGCCTTCCTTTCTGTGGCTTCCGGGTCAAGTCTATCAGTTCATTACAAATGCAGTAAGAATTTCATGCTCTGCTAACACAGGTCTGACCAAATCATAGCTGTTTGGTAGTTGGAAAGGGACAAAGAGGGCAGCAATATTTAGAATACTATTTCAGCACTAGTGAAATAAGCTGACTTTTCTTACTTTAAAAATAAGAGCAAATAAGATAAAAATCACACTACAGTCTCCCAGACAAGCATGTTTGATTGGTGTATGCTGGATTGCAAGCTTAAACTAAATATTTGGTCCTTTATTTCCAGTTCTGCTTATATTTAACTGAAAAAGGGATAAAATTAAACAGTTTCATTCAGAATAACACTTAGCTCCTTGTTATCAAGAACATCCAGATGAACTTGTCCTTGAGATGATTCTATTGTGAGAATAGTGTACAATATAATTGCACTGGTGAGGAGGATTGGAGAGGGGCATATTGTCAAATTTTATTTCTTAATTTTTTTTCCTACTTGCCATTACTACCTTGCTGTGAATATTTGTAATTCTGTAGTTTGCTGTGTTTTTCCGACGTGTGGATAGGTGTGATTTCTTTGTTAAAGCTTCTTTTTATGGTGTATATAAAGTACATAAAAAAAAAAAAGACAAATCTGATTGCCATGAATATTAATTGATTTGAGGTGAAATACTGAAATTCTTTCCCTCTGTGACAGCCAAGAAGATGGAGTAACAGCTTGTGGTGTCAATGTGTCTCATATTGGGTCCTCTTGGACCTACTTGCTTTTTTTGTTGTTATTGCAAACCTGTCACAGGAAGGTATAAATCCTGCCTGCTTAAATCCGTATCTAAATTGTTACATTAACAGTTAGTTTTTCAGTGTTTTGAATATGAATCTCTTACACTGCCAAGTCTAATTCATTATATAACTGCTTTAAGAAGGACAGCAGCATATTCTCCTGAAGAGTTTTTTATTCAGAACATTTAATCTGATATGTTTTTCTCTCTCATAGATTTCCAGCACAAAATAACAGTGCAGGCATCCCCCAATCTGGATAAGAGGAGGAGTTTAAACAGTAACAGCTCTAGTCCATCAAGTAGCCCCACAATAATTCCTCGTCTTCGAGCTATACAATGTAAGTCTCCATTCATCAGATTAATAGAGAGTGTTCCATATACTTACTGAAACATTGCTAGTAGTACCAGATTCCAGGCAGATTTCTGTCTGATTTCCACATCCCTTCATTTGTTCTAACAGTTGCAACTCCTTTGACAGGAGGGATAATCTTGCTAAACTGCTAAATGATTTTCAGTAATTCAAAATGATTGTGAATGCTCTAAGTTGTGTCTTTAATTACTTTGTGAAGCGATTAGTAAACTGACCAGGATAAAACAATGATGAATCAAAATTTATAATGGCAATCACATTTAGAAATCAAGGTAAGATGGAAAGCAAGTTTTTATTAGGTATCGAGTTCATAAAGGAAAAGGAAGGTTCAGAGAGTAAAGGAGTCATGGGAGATGGAAAGGCCAAAGAATCAGCCAGTAACCCAGCTTTCTGATGGCAATAGAGAAGGAAGCTTTAAGGAGGTACAAAGCCAGACGAAATCTTGCTTTAGGTTTTTTGAAAACAAGAAAAAGAAACCAAAATAAAATTGACTATGTTTGTAGGTCTACATTGTTATGTATACTGATGACAGAAGGGAAGGCATGTTCATGCTCATGTAGTGGAGGTGCCATGAATATGGAAGAAAACATTGTATTGTTACAGGGAAGCATTTATTTATATTTTAGAATGACATCTGTAGAGATAGAAAACAATTCCTACAGGACTCACGGCTTGCATTTGTACTGTCTGATCTGTTGTGCAAAGTAGATTGTCTAACTACCCATATTCAGCAAGGAAGCCTTATGCTTCCCTGTCTTTATGAAATCAGTGGAACCTGTTCCAGCTGAGTGCTTATGGATTGTGGCTAGCTTCTCTTGCAAGTGTAGTCACCTGTGAGGGAAATTGCTTAATAATCTGGCTTTGTCAGATGTAAATGAGAAGAGGAAATCAGAATGCATGAGGATGTTTTTTCCTACATACTGTTCTATACCTAGTTTAAAGATTGTTTGATTGATTTTTTTGAAACCAGCCTGAAACTTTGTTTAAAGTTTGGCTAGAAATCAGATCTCTCATCTCCTTTGGGACACCTTTGCCTTATGAAATCCTTTTCATTATTAATGTCTGAAGGGGAGAAGTGATGTCTTCTCTGACAGTAACTATTATTTGTTTGAGCTGTAATAAATACAGTTCCATGGGCAGAAAACATTACTACGCGTATGATGTGGATAAAGAAGAGAGGTGGGCAAACTGTGTCTTGCTTTTCTGAATGAAAATTTGAGGTGGAAGGAAAAGTACATAAAGTCTTTTTTAGAAGTTAGGTGACACAGTGTCTGTGGTGTCGGTGGTTTCCTGACCTCAAACTGTGTGGTGGTTTGTTTTTTTTTTTTCTGGTTGGTTGGGGTTTTTTACTGCAGAAAGGTAAGAAAGGCTTTTCTTAGTAAAATGTTGTAATTGAGTATAAACAAGACTGTCTCATTTTGTCTTTGATTCTTCTTGCTCTGCAAGGAAATGCTTGGAAATGAAGCAAGTGTCAGGTATTGGCATGATTCTGAAAACTTGCTTTTTTGTGTTTGGGGTGGGTTTTTCCCTTTGTTTGTTTGTTTTAAATGCATAGCCTTGTGTAAACTATAGCAGTGCCACTCCTTGCATGTGTGCTAAGTGGGCACTTTATTTTTTTTTTTGGGCAGGCACTTGTAGGGCTTGAACATACAGGACAACATAAAGGGTCTCCTTTAAAAGAAGTGCAAGTTTATTTCCAAGTTTGGATCCCTAGACTTTACCTAAAAGCTTATCAGATCGCTCAGGAGTATCTAGCTGAAACAATTTAGCTTCCACACCCATCTGCACCTGTGCAAAATAATTTCTCTTTCCCACAATAACGTTTTATCTTGATTTAACTTCAAAGTGTCTTTGTTTCAAGATGACTTGCTCAAATACAGGTGATTTGAACAGGCATACATAACAGCTGGTTACTTGATTGCTTCATATTGTCATGAGCGAGTCTAGCTTTCAAATCTAAAAAGTTCTATAAGTTAAAATAAAGATCTAGTTATTTTGTTATTAAAACAAATTCTGTTGATTTTGAAAGGTGTTCTAGAGGGAGGAGAAAAACCACTAAGATATATATAGAGAGTGAGTCTGTAAGTCCTGGAATGTGGACTGTAAAGAAGGCAAGGCTGGTGCCATGCTACAGGATAAGCTGTGCTGGCAAGAAGGTTTACTGTGAGGCAGGAGAACACTGTGCAGTGAAGGAAGGGCAGTACCACAGGCTGTAAATGCCCCCTCATTTGTCATGCTGTTTACAACTGGCTACATTGTTTTTCTCTTAGGTCTCTCCATCATAGCTGTAAGTATGCCACGTTGATAGCAAGTTACAGTTTGAGTTAGTCAGTTGTATGTGAAAATCTACTTTCCCAGGTCTGGTCCTAGAAAGAGGATCCTTTAAACCCTACAGTAAAAACTCACCAACAGAAGATGCTTAATGCCTTTTAAGCTCTAGGCCTTATGACTCAAAGATAAAAATATGAGGGAAAAGGAAAGAGTTCTGAAAAGCAACTTGACTAAGATCTCTACTACGTTCTCTTAATTTTTCCTCAGTGATTCCTAAAACAGATACACACACAGCTAATGGCCGAAGAAACAGTGTATATGTGTACCAGCAAGATGTAGATATCACAAGTGAATATGAACTTCCCAGTGGGGTTATGAAAAAAGGCAAGATTTCATTATGTTTCAAAGGTGCTGGTTCTGTTTAATTTGACTAAGATCTCTACTACGTTCTCTTAATTTTTCCTCAGTGATTCCTAAAACAGATACACACACAGCTAATGGCCGAAGAAACAGTGTATATGTGTACCAGCAAGATGTAGATATCACAAGTGAATATGAACTTCCCAGTGGGGTTATGAAAAAAGGCAAGATTTCATTATGTTTCAAAGGTGCTGGTTCTGTTTAATTTATCAGTCAAGACAGTGACAGACTAAGCATTTAATGGAAGTTAGACACTTTAAAAGTATATTTTGTTTTGGTGTAATGAGAAAGAAAATGTTAATTATGGTCACAATTGGAATATTCTGTTTCATTTGATAGCAGTTGTTCCACAGTATATGTTTTCTTCATTGGAATTTTAAGTGCTCAGTCTAACTCACTTGTCTGAATTACCTGAATATAAGGTTCTCAGTTAAAGGAGGCATGGAAAATATGATTGCTTTGCTGCTTTATCTGTAATCTGGGTCTCTTGTCATCTCATAAATTATTTTTCTTGCTTGCTCATCTTTTTGGATCGGTGCAGTTTGTGGTGGCTTTTGTGACAGAAAAACATCTCAATTTTGTTTCTACTCTTTGTTTGTGTTACTGAGTCAAAATGGTTTTGCAGTGGAGAAAATATTCTGTCAAAATATTTTGGTTTTAGAAATAATATTTATAGGTTTGTTTTTTGTTTGTGTTTTTAAATCCAACCTCTAGTAACTTCAGATGAAAGCAACAGAACTTGGGGAAGGAGCACAACTTATCACCAAGAAGAGTTTGAAGATGCAAAGAGAAATTTTAAAAAGAAAGGTTGTACATGGGGACCAAGTTCAGTTCAAACAAAGGATCGTGCAGATTGTAAGGACAAGTATGTCTACAATATTTTGTTTGATAATACTAAAGCATTCTTGAGAACTGAATCACTGACATAGGTAGTGAGTGAGAGAAGTTCTGCAGTCTGTAGTTAACAGCTAAAAATCCTACCTTTTAATTAATTTAGAAATTACATTAATAATGAGTAGCTCCCCCACTTAGACTTGAGGATAAAACACCTACTTATCTTAAAGTTTTAGTGACTCTTTTTCTCTATTTTTTGAGACTTGGAACATACTGGGATGCTGAGCTGCTAATACATGTCAGGCATGCATGGCCTGTCTTTCTTGCCCTTCCCCACGTTAACTTGAGGAGCTGCGAGCATGGTTCCCAGTGGGCATGAGGCACAATTCAAGGTTCTGAAAATCAGTTGAACACCTTTACAGATTGTTTTTTTGCCGATGGCTTAAAACTAGAGTTAGCAGCTTTTCTGAAGTAAGAAATCCCTTTCCTTGTTTCTTCTAATGTATACAATTCTTTGTAGTGCCTATATTTTTTTATCTTTGTGGTAGGGACATCCACTCATTTACCTGTGTCAGGAGTTGGTTTCAGACCATCTATTGAAACTGGCTTCATAATATTTTTGTTTGTTTTAAAGTCACCATGTTTAATAAATTTCCAATATTCACATCATTTCTTTGACACAGTGAAACTGTTGTCCAAGTTTTCACTATCTCGTGTTGTTGAGTAGGTAGTCAAGGTCCATTTTTCATTGACTTTCTTTTTAGGCATGAAATTTTCATCATATAAGGAATACCTGACATAAGGCATGCATGCATTTACAGTCATATGATTCTATGCTATTACATACTACTTTTTTGCCTTTGGAAAGCTTTAGTGTTTTCAGGTTATCTACTACATGTTTGTAGTTTGAAAAGGCAGATGAATTTTCTCAGAAAGTATAGATAAGTATGGTATCCCTCTGTGATCTTAAAATAACTATTGTTATTGCAGGGTGAGACCCCTCTCAGATGGCAGCAACCCTTGGTCAACTGTTTTAATGAAACATCAAAAAGGTGTTCCCTTAGCTTCACTATTTGTGGACCAAGGTAAGAGCTGTTTTTGAAAAAGTGAAAGTTGCCATGTAATGGCATAAAGTTTACCTCCAGTGTTACAAATCTTACTGTTTGAATTCCTCAAGGATAATGCAGATTATTAGATTAGTAGTCATGCTACAAACTATTTTCCTGTGGCAAAAACTCTTATCTCTAAAAAAATGCAAGTGCTAGCATCTTTGTTTCCATCATAAGCAGTGAAGAAATATATATGGTCTGTGAGCAGTACCACATAGAGATTTATTTTCCCCTGTTTTTGAGTTGCAGACTGATCTGCATCGGAGATTCACAGTCACCATTTATTTGTTTTTAAAAGCATCAAAATCAGTAATTCTCTTGACACTTAAATGATCATTAATGACATTGATAGTGGGCTCTGCATAGTTCTTTAAAAACCTCTGATCCCTGATGTGTTCCCAGATATTAGTTCCCTGTTTTTTTGAAAGAGAACTATTCTCTAAATTTTCAAGAAAAAATACGTTGATTTCAAATGTTAAAGTTGTTTAGACAATATTTGTCTATTTACAGGTAAAATCACAAGGAAAAATATGCTTAATCATCTTAGGATCAGGAATGTAGTATCCGCATGTTGCCTTTTATGTCCATTCCTATAATGTGCTGTGGCTATGCAATATTCATAATAATTTTTGAGTTTGTACCCACCTTTTATACTACAGATTCTTTTCTCTGAGGAAATTAAGTTACCAGTGTCAGGAAAAAAAAACTGTGATATAACTTAGTGTCCATACCAGCAGCTGGATTTATGCCAGCTGGAAGAGGTAATGGTAAGGTGCTTGGACACTTCATATGTACTGATTGGGGTATAAATGAAGGCTTCACAAATAGCAGTTTTATAGATTTATTAGCTTACTACTAAACCCCTGCATACAGGGGTATTTGAATTCAAATACTTCTGTGTTTATTCTCTAGCATTCAGTAGTTTATAGTAGAATAACACATGTAAGTCAAATGATACCTCTTTTTTATTTGTCATTAGGTGTAAGATGTCCAATTTACATTTTACTCCAGACCACCATGACCTAATTAATTAATTTGAAAAAATTTCTAGTAATTGACTAGATTTTGGAACAGAGCTTAATCGAAAGTGTTGTAAAGAATGTGTTCCAATTCTTATATGTAAGTTTGTGTGTAGTAAATGACTTCTCTGTAATCCATACACAGAAATATTTTCTGTGTTATTTGAAAAGCACTACCAAAGTGTTGCAAACATGAAGAGGTTTAGGTGTAGGGTGTGTTTCTGAATCTCACAAGGTGAGTCTGAGTTTCTGACAGCATCTAAAGGGGTTGTACAGTATCCCTCAAGATTAACATGTGTGCAGTTGAAAGGAAATAATGTACACACACAGACATGCAATAGCAAAACAGTTGAATTGCAATCTTAAAGGGTACTGTGATGTTTTACAGGTGTCTGTACTGATAAGAAACTTAGCCCTGAAGGTTTGGACAGTAAAAGACCAAAGCCAATTAAATTGCCCAGTCAGGCCTATATTAATCTACCTCTTTGGAAAGATGATCAGGGAGAGAATACAGTAGAACATGAGAGCTTTGAAGAAGGAACCTCTGCTAGTTCTACAAATAGCACTCCTCAAATGACGCCTACCAACAGTCTGAGCAGAGCACTGCACAAAAAGAAGACTGATTCAGTGCTGTATGGGTGTGCTGTCCTCCTTGCATCTGTTGCCCTGGGCCTAGATATCAGAGAGCTGAACAAATCTCAGGGTCCAGAGGAACTCTTGCCTAAAGATGAGAAGAAGAAGCGTGATGGAATATTTCAGCGTGCTTCAAAATTTCGCAGGAGTGC